ACCCTTTTTAACTTTTTTACAAAAAAAAAGGAACGTTAGCAAAATGCCCTTCATTTTATTTAAATTTTTTTTATATTAGGGGGGTTTTTGATTTTTTAATAATTTCTTATATATATGCTACTGTGAAAAAAATTGACAAGGAGGGTTTGAAAGATGGAATAGGAAAAAAAAGAATGCCCCCCCCCCCTCCCTCCCCCCCCCCACCCCAAAGCTAGCCAAATTTTTATACTGTACTGGGATTTTCCCTTTTAAACCCAATTTATTTCTTGAGCAATATTAAAAAAAGTAGGTTTTTATACAACATGTAAAAAATTCAGTATATTTTTCAAAATTAAAAATTTAAAAATCAGTACTTAAGTGGGCGATAGGTTTTTAGTTTTTGCCCAGGTTGACTGCAGATTTAAAAAAATTGATATTTTAAATATTCAAAAAAATTTTTGGGATTAGTAACTTAGGAATTGTCCTCCCCGTAAAAATTTAAAAGCTATGCATAATTTGGGGGTTTTTTTTTAAGGGAAAAATTCAGTTAAAACCCACTATTGAAACCCAATTTACTTGGGGAAATGAAGTGGGTCATTATAACCCGCAAATGCTAAATTGCCTTTCAAAAAAATAGATTAAAAAAAATAAACATTTGCTTAAAAAACCCCCAAAATAAAAAAAATGAACAAAAAAATCCAAAAAACAAGCAAAGCCAACCCCATTAGCATTGGAATAAGTCACATTTTGTCAAAACATCTTTAATTATTTTTGAAAACACTGGGCCCCAACAGAAATTTTAAATAGTAAGTACAGTTAAAAATAATATAACAACTTAAATTTTATTAAACCCCCTCCCAAAATTTTCATGCTTTTAAAAGCGGGTATAAAAAAGCCTTAAAACCCTTTTTAAATTTAAAAATGCCCAAATTTTTCCCCAAACCCAAAATTTTCACTTAAAATTTATACATAATCTTTATCCATTAAAGTCTAATAGACGTGTTCTATTTTTACAAATGTCCAACAGAATTTTAAAGGGAAATGTGGGGTCAGCTTTCTGATCGTGGGGAGACAAGACAATCCCTCACTCGCAATTATTAAAGTACTATACAAGGAACAAAAACTGTCCGCCGACCAAAAACTGGGGTTTTGGGTACAACCAAAAACACAAGTAATGTTATAAAAAATGAAGACAAACCAAATATCAAAACATCAACTAGATACATGAATTTTCAAAGACTGCTAAAAAACCAAAAAATTTAAATCCCCGCTTGGGTTTTAAACCCAAAGTACAACCCCCAAAATCTGTGGCACAGTATTGGCATGGAATTTATGATTAAAAAATTTTTTAGACCCCGATTAACAATACAAAAAATTAAAATATACAATGGGGTAGGGAAAATTTACATGACAAAAACAAACCCCTAAATCCAAAAAATTTCCCATTTTTTACACACCCCGATTGGCCCTTTTTTGACTGATTTAAGGGCTCCCCTTTGCAGGAGAGACATGGGAAAAACTTTCTTGAGGCGTGGACGTTGTTTGGCGTTTTATCCAAAAGTATGGGTGTGGACCCAAGAGGGGGAAAAAGATTTTGGGGGCATTGGGGGTTTTTTCCCCCCTCTAGATTCCCCTCTTCGTCATTAAAAAAAGACAGATTTGCCAAATACCATAAAACTACATCCACCACAAATGCTAACTTTATAACAGAACCTGGGATCCTGAAAATAATTTTAGTCCCAAAAAGTAAATTTTAAAAAGGGGGGCCCCAAATGCATTATAGTAGTCTGAAAACATCCTTTTTCCCCCAAAAAATAAAGATAAAAAACCCTTAAAGATTTCCCCAAAAGCTTTAAAAAATTCCAACTAACCCCTTTAATTTTGGGAGAATAATTAGACTAGTTTTGGTCCATCCTCAAAGGGGGAGAGTGGGAAAAAGGGGAAGAAAACTAGCAAAAAAGCCCGGGCCGGCCCTTTTGACCCTGGTAAGTTTAAATATTTATTTTGCTCATAATAAACAGGCAGAAACAAACCCGTCCCCCCCTTACATTTCCTCCAAACCCTTTCTCCACTTTCCCCCCTACTAGGCGAGGTTTTTTACCCCAAAATTTTGGGACACAAAATAAAACCCGGGCCCAAAAGAAACAAAACATTTTTAGGGTAAGCCATTTTTTTCTTTTTGCCCCAATGCAGCTTGTCAGAAATTTTGGGACCAAAAAATTAAAAAAAAGGTATCAACAATTATCCCCTCATAAACTCTTTTGTATTTAATAATATTTTCTTCAAAAATCCCCAAATTTTCTGAAAAAACCTATTCCCCCCCCTTTTTGTCTACCTCCCCCCCTTTAAACCCCTTTCCCGGGTCCGTCCCCCTAGATCTAAAGCTTTTCGGTGATGTCCCCCAAAACCCAGATCTATGGGCCCCAAAAATTTTAACGGCTCAAATTTTTGCGTGAAAGCGCCATAGACCAAAATGTGAGAAATGGGTCTTTCGCCCTGGGTGGCGCCATAAACAAAAAATCTAGGCCCCCTGCATACAATTTTGGGAAACGCCGGCTCAATCCCCCCTGTTTACCCCTGCCTTTGTCCCCAAGTCAACCCCCTCACCCCCCCCCGGGAAAATTTGGGGCCTCCCTTTCCCGTCTGATAGTTTTTACACTGATGGAAGTGCAAAATGAAGAAGAATTCAACGGCTTTGATAAGTTTTGTGACCGAAAATAATGACCAGGAATCGATAATAGTGC